TTTTTTTTACTCTCTTTTCTCTTTGTAATTATGCCTGGGGGTGCCGTACATAGGACCTTCTCCCCCTTTACCTGCCTCCCTCCAGCCTCTGCAGAGTTAACTTTTTCACTCTTTTTGTATTCCTGGAGTGCCTCTTTCACTATTTTCAGCTGGCTTTGGGTATTTGTAGCCAGCACCTTCCAATTGTCTGCTCCCTTTTCCATTTGTGCCTTTTCCTCTTTACATGAAGACAAGCGGAGGGAAGAATCCTTACATGCCTCCCACAACAACCAAATCGCTGCTGCATCTCTTTTGGCAGCACTAGAAGGTTTGTATATGAGGATATACTGAGCCAATCTATCCTCTAGGTCCGAAATAGTGCAGACATCAGCTAGGGCTTGTTTAGTCCAAGGACTGTGCCCAAATTTTTGAAGGATTTGTTTAAAAGGTGTAATTTCTTTAACAAAAGGTGAGGTTGGAGTTCCTTCTGACTCCATTGCTCCCTCTGGTACTGGCTTACCCTGTTTTCTTTTAAACATCTTAACATGAATATTTCAATCTCTTTGTCACTGCTGGTATTACTTAGCAAGTGACACAGCCTAGATTCTGAAATCATAGCTTAATCTATGCGTTTTTCCCCTGCTACCTTCCCGGAGGCCAGCAGGTCCCCTGCTACCCTCCCAGAGGCCAGCAGGTCCAGTTAACCTATTTCTTCCTGCTACCTTCTCGGAGGCCAGCAGGTCCGGTTAACCTGTTCTTCCCTGCTACCTTCTCGGAGGCCAGCAGCTCCCCTGCTACCTTCTCAGAGGCCAGCAGGTCTGGTTTAATCTGTTTTTCCTGCTACCTTCTCAGAGGCCAGCAGGTCCCCTGCTACCTTCTCGGAGGCCAGCAGGTCTGGTTAACCTAATAGAAATGCCTAGCTCACTAGAGCTGGCGGTGTGCACACCAATATTTACAATAACTGAGGTTTTTTACCAATATTCCCCCTTTTGCATTTCTCCACCAAAATGTTATACCAATAAAATAAAAACCAGCAGGATCTTATTAAAGGGAAAAAGGCAAAATACCACATTTATTGTGAATACAGAAAGAATCCTAGTAAGCAGTTAGTTATAGCTATAACATGCCATTCAATCTCATATTTATTCACACATTCATTCATACAAACACACACACACAGGTTCTGCAAGGTTGTTATCATAGTTACCAGCCTTAGAGTTGCTCATGCCAAGCCACTGGCCAGGTGGCCTGGACATGCGGAGGGAGCAGGGCCTTGTCAGATGCTCATCTGATGCTCCTGGAAGTTGGTTTGCAGAATCAGACCCCAAAGTTCTCACTTTTTAGAGTCTATTTTTATAGGAATTTCTTCCTATGCCAGTCTATGGGAATTGCTTCATCATGCTGTTGCTGAATCAATCAGCAGATAGCACATTCCTGACGGCTCCAAGATGTTATCTTGTTTTTGGTTCTCCCATTCTTGAGGCTGTTGGGTGGATTCCAGTCTGCCCACCGGGGGGGGGGGGGGGGTCCTCTGGTTATTTCCACTTGATGCCTTCTTCAGCCGATGGACACTGGATTCTTAGGCTGGCACCTCCCTAATCATTCAGTTATTATCCACACCAAGCATCCATCCACATACATCCTCTATCTCTATTTTAATGACAATTGTTAATACAACAAAAGGGCGGGGAGTCTCTGGGTGCTGTTTCTGTTGTTAGAGTATTGTTTTGAGTCTCTCTCTCTGTGAACTGCTTTGAGAACAGACTCTGTCTTAGAATGTACTAACACAGTTAGCAGCTTGCAAGTTTCACACACAGAGGGAGAGAAACAGTACCAAAAACCAAGAGACCTCTTAATTAGTAATACCCTGGAATTTGAACTATGGGGAATCAAACTCATTTGTGATTTTAATACAGAACTTCTTTAATATGATCCAACAAAGGAGGCAATCTCTCCTGAAAAGCCGCACCGGTCAGCGAGGATTGAGGGGGGTAAGCACTGAACCTGCATTTAAGGAAGGCCATAGGCGTGAGGTGGGGAATTACAGAGCAGTGAGTAATCCGTCCCGGGCAGAGAAACAGAGACAGCAGAATCAAACCTCGGGAAGGTGGTGATGTGATGGGAGCTAGCCAGCCTGGTTTCTGCAAAGGGAACATACTAATTCTTTAAACAGGTCAGTACGGTAGTGGGCAAAGGACAGCCGGTTGACGTGGGACTTTCACAACATCCCTCCTAAGAGGCTGCTGAAGAGGGGGAGTAGACCCAGGGCGAGAGGCGAAGTATTGTCAGAGATCATATTTGGTCTGGTTGCCTGCACAGCCGTAATTCAGCCCCGCCATAGCTGCACCGTCCTGGAGCACCTCCTTGTGGCATGCCCAGTATTTCATCCACTCCGCCACTCTCTCTGGACTTCACTGGTCTAGGACAGCAGCGACGAGGCCCTCCGGCCAGGTAAAGCTACCTTTCTGGGGTAGCGACGTCCCCCACGAGCGATGTCCGGTAACACAGCGTCTTCCGCCCCTACCGGGTACCTTTTCAGCCTCACATGTCTTCCAGAGCAGCCGCTCACAGGGCTTCCCTCAGCAAGAGTCAGACCCAGCCAAAAATACAAACTAAGCAACTTCCACCCATCGACTCCCTTGTAGGTTCTCCCTTCACCGGCCTCCTGCCAGGCCCTTCCCAGAGAACAGGGACTCCTCCCAGCTGGCCTTGTAACTCCTTCCTGAGCCTGACCAACCCTCCAGGGTGGGGCTCTCTGGGTCTAATTAACACTTCTCATTACGTGTGGGTCATCAGCAGGGTTGGAATCTTAAGCTGCACCCCACAGACCTCTTGAGCCACTTGAGCTAATGAGTAACTCTTGGTAGTAGTAGGTTGTTATCCTCTGTGTCCAGCTACTGGGTGCGTATTCTGCTTTATCAGCAGGTTTCACAGACCTGTGCTTCTAACAGAGGAACGCTGAAATTCAGGAGCCTTGGGAGGGGAGTGTTCTTTAGAGGGAATAGCCCCTTCTGCCCTGTTAACCCCTAAGACTGACCCTGTCTGCCCCTGTCCCCTCTAGCTTGTCCCTGACAGTCTCTTTGCTGGTGTCCAGCACCACAGTGCAAAGCACCAATTGCAGGGAGAGTCCTTCTTAGCTCATGCAGCCTCGGGATGGAACATGCTCCCTCGCTCTGTGGAGATGGTACACACACACGATGGTTGGCATGTAGGAGCTTTGACGGGATGAAGCATCCTCAGTGCACATGAAATCTAGCCACTCTACCAAACCCTAATAAATCCCACGTGAGCGTGTGCAAACTGCAATTTTTCAAAGCCTTGCAACTTGGCCAAAGTTGGGCGAATTTTCACATGGGCAGCACAAGGCACAACTCTGACCCGAAGGTGATCTCTCCACCAGATTTCAAGCCCCCGCTCCAAAGCATGCAGAATCTAGGGCTTCTCAATGAAACCGCTGAAAGAATTTTTTTAGTTGGGGGAAAAAAACTGTATATTTTTTTCCACTTCATTTGGAGAAACTGCTGATCCATTTTTGTTGAAACTTTCCCCCCAAAATTCAATCTGTGGCAGACACCCAGCATGGAAAATTTCAGCCGGAAATATTCAAATTTGGCAAAGTTATAAGCATCTGAAAACAGGCTCTTATCATGGGACGTGTCAGCCAACCTTAACTACATGTGTTGCTACCTGTAATAATAATTGGTCTAGAGACAGGAGAGTGGGAACCCAGCTTCTGTTCTCTCTGTCGCATAACACAAGAACAAGGGGGCATTCGATGAAGTGAAGATGCGGGAAACCGATAAAAGGAAAGAGTGTTTTGCACAATGCACGATTAGACTGTGGAACTCTCTGCCACAGGATGCCAGGCCTTTTTCAAGTTTGAAACAGGGATTGGACATTTATATGGCTAGCCAGAATATCCGGAGTTCATGTTAAAGCTAACATGCATTAGGGGTAGACCTAAACGGGGGCCAGGTTATCCCACATCTGCTACCATAGGGTACTTACTCCTTCCTCTGCAGCATCTGATGCTACCACTGTCATGGACGGGCTACTGTGCTGGCTGGATCTCAGGCTGATCCAGTTTGACCGTTCCTGTGACTTGCAAAAAGCCTTTGGCAAAGTCCATAACAAGAGGAAATCAATCACTCATAGATCGGAGGGGCAAAGATCTGGTACAGCTTGGAAACTGGCCGACTCACTACTGATTAATTTTCGTGATGACCATCAGTGACCGGCAGGTGCCACGGGTTGGGGGGGGTCTATACTAGGTCCAGCTTAGCTCAGTATATTAGAAGGCGTCTCGGACGATTTGATCATGCCAGATATAACTCGCGGTGGACCCATGCCACAGCGCCTCGACGGGACACCGGTGCAGTGACGCCAGCTTGGACCAAAGCAGCTGGGAACAAACGGAGATGAACCGCGGGGTTCCGCTCTCTGAGTGCAGAGGCCACCACTCGCCTGTGAGCGAACAGGCGGAGGCCCGGGCTGGAAACCACCAGCTGTTTCTGCAGTTGTTCCCACCTGCCTGGCGCTGAGCTGTGGTCCCCGCCGGGGGCCGACCCCCCCAGCCCGGGTGAGTCAGAGAAGCCAGCGGCTGCAGTGAGGAAGCTGGGAACTGGGAAATCACCCCAAACCCACCCAGCTGCAATGGAACATGGTTGGGCTCCCGACCCGGTGCAGCCTTGCTGACACGAACAGGAGCGGGCCCGAAGGGGAAGATACCAGGGCCCCAGGGATGGGGAGCAGGGAGCCCACGAAGGAGGCAGGGGGAGAGAAAGCCAGCCCCCAACAGAGCAGAGCCTGTGGTGGTGGCTGCCTTCTGTGTCTGGTTAGTTTCTGTGGCGAGCATCTCTGCAGAAAGCCAGGGGCGTAGGAGGAAGGAAGAGCAGCAGGGGTCGGAGGGAAGGGGGGCGGCAATACCTCAACACTCCTTTTTAAGGTCTCTCTGGCTTTCAGATGCTCCTACTGGCCCAGCCAGACCCCTCCGCCTCCTTCACTTGGGCTATAAAAGCAACTGCAAGAGCTCTGGCCGGCCATTCCAGCTTCAATGGCTCCAATGGCTTCGATGCTCGGCCTCCCATTGCTCTTCGCTGTGGCCACAGGTAAGAAGCAAGGGAGGGGTAGGCTTGCTTCCCACCCCACCCCCCATGTCCATTGCCAGGCCCCAGCCGGGAGCAAGCCAAGAGCACCGAAGGGTTTTAGGAGCCAAGCGCTGCTAACAGGCAGGTGCATCTGCTTCTGGACCAGCGAGATGGGAGGGGGCAAACGTCGTTATCATGCGAAGGGCTCTGGGGTTTGCCGGCCGGCCAGCTGCAGGTCAGGCCCAGCCACGCTGGTTAGAACGACAATTCAATCCATTTGCTTGTTTCGCTTGCGCCCCGGCTGCTGGGATCAGGTGATTAGATCAACGTCTCCGCTTTCCTTTCAGAAAAAAAGGGAGTTTCTCGCTTTTGAGGCTGAAGAGAAACACGTGGACCCCAAAACTTGCCAGCCCCAGAAGGCCAATAAAAATACCCCCCCTTATTAATTTGAAATCTCATGATTTTGGAGGCCAGATTCCTGGTTTTTAGACCCTCGGGGCTGACCGCTATGGTCCCTGAGCTAGAAGAACCCACAGAGCATGTCACCAGAGTCGGGCAGGAAGGGAAGCCAGTGAGCTGCTTTCAGATTTCCCTGCCTCTTCCTTTGATGCCTCTGATCTTGGGTATTATCAAAGGCAGGATCCTGGGTGGGCTGGGCCCTGGTTCTGCTCTGGTCTGGCAGGTCCCACCACGTTCCTATGGACAAGGCCCCACATATTGCAGTGCAGCTAGACCACGTTTGTGTAGCTCGTCAGCTCCTAGGGCAGGGGCTGTCTTTTTGCTGTGTGTTTGTACATTGCCTGGCATAACAGGGTCCTGGTAATTCAAATACATTATCATAATAATATAATGTTCCTCTCGAGGATTTTGGGATGCTCCAGAGAGCAGCAGATCCTGCTTAGCCCTTCCTTTTGGTATCTATTACTAGAAAGGCTCCGTTTGATTTCTAGCGCGTTAATGGACAGGCTAGTGAATGACTCACTGGGGCAGACCCGCCCCCCCCGACATAACCCCACGAGAATGAACACAGTCACGCCCAGGAAGACACTGGTTCTGTACATCCCGGAGAACCTCTGATCCCATAGCCTGCTCTTGTAGGGTCTCTTTGTATCTTGAGACAACCCATCGGCAAGGTGGGGCCAGCATTGCCCTAGTGAGACTGACGCACGCTGCATGCAGAACCTGTTGTTATCTAGAGCTGAAGATTTACGCAGCTGAATGGCAGAAAGGCTGACTGACCAGCTGTGGGGCTGGCCGTGGGGACAGAGCGTGACATACCAGATATGGGTTGGGAGGTCACGTTCTCCTGGGGGAAGCGCTCCTGGGCCAGCCAGAGGGCGTTACAGGTCCACAGGGCTTTGCCCCCCTCCCACTTGTCTCTTTGTTGGGCAGCGTTGGCCGGGCAAGATTTGGTTCCCACGCGATGTTTGCAAGGACCCAAGTTCTGGTGCCAGGATGCGGCCACGGCTGTCAAATGCCAGAGGGAGCAGTACTGCACGAGCCTCTGGGCCGCCGTTCCTCTGGTGAGTACTGGAGCCGCGTCCGTCTCTCCTCCCCCTTTCCTCGGGGGGTGCTGGAGCCGCGTCCGTCTCTCCCCCTCCCCATTTCCATGCCTTGTCCCTTCCCCACTGGCTGCCCATGCAGGGAGCGAGGGGAGGGGAACTGACTGCAGTTGGGTGACAAAAGGTGGGGCAAGGGGCAGTGCGGAGGGGCGCTGGGTGCCCAGCCTGGGTGCTGCAGGCGCTTGGGGGCTAAGGGAGGGATTCTCTGGGAGTGGAGCTCAGCAGGGCCCAGAGAGGGGCCTCAGGAGACACAGGGATGAAATTTCCTGAGCTCTGGGCTGTGGTGGCAATGCACCGGGTGCAGAAGGAGTTGGCTGGTTTGGCAATGGAAGGCGGGGGCCTGGATGAGTCAGAGAAGCTGGGGAGGAGCGGAAACCCCCTTCCTTGGTCTCCTGCTCTGCATGGCTCCCAGCCCAGCTACCTGCACCCACCTCCCAGTCCTGCAGTGCCCAGGTGGAGCAGGGAGAGGGGGTCAGGGCAGCTGATGGAGCGGAGCCAGGAATGATCCCTGCTGCGGGAGCTGCTTATGGCTGCAGCGGAGGTGGCAGGAGCCGCTTACGACCCACGGGGGGGGGGTCAGTCCAGCCAGCTGCCCCCCTCCTCTCCTTGCCCCCCAGCACCAGGGAGGAGCTGAGGTAGCTAGTGAGGCAATGGCAGGAGCCAGCCACTGCAGCAGCCCTTCCACTCCATGGCCCAACGATTACGCCCTCTGCTTCTGACCCCACTGCCCTCCCTTATCCCATCCCCCTTGATCCCCACCCCCCCACCCCAGGCCAAGATAGGCAAAACTTCGCTCGTGTCGGTGAGGAAGGGTGGCCCAGTGGTGGGGGCACTGGCCTGCCCTGCCACAGGCTCCCTGAGTAACCTTCAGCAGGTCACTGTGTCTCTCTGTGCCTCAGTATCCCTCCCTGTAAAATGGGGCACATAGCACAGCCCCGCCTCCCGGGGGAGTGGGGGTTGAAAGGATAACTGTAGAGCTGGGTTTTTTTTCCCCCCATGCGAAATTTCAAGTTTTCAGCAAAAATATTGAAAACCCTCATACGTCACTTTTGCAAATGCCGCTGCAGTGCCTCATGGGAGTTGTAGTTCGGGTGCCTCAGGCCCTCAGTCTCCTTTAGGCACTGACTGGACGACATCTCCCATGATGCACTGCAGCCTCACCTCTTCCTGCAGCTGCCACCTCTCCCCGGTGCCTCATGGGAGTTGTAGTTTGGGTGCCTCAGGCCCCCATTCTCCTCTAGGGGCTGACTGGACTACATCTCCCATGATGCACTGCAGCCTCGCCTCTTGTTGCGGCTGCCTCTCCCCAGTGCATCATGGGAGTTGTAGTTCGGGTGCCCCAGGCCCCCATTCTCCTCTAGGGGCTGACTGGACTACATCTCCCATGATGCACTGCAGCCTCGCCTCTTGTTGCGGCTGCCTCTCCCCAGTGCATCATGGGAGTTGTAGTTCAGGTGCCCCAGGCCCCCATTCTCCTCTAGGGGCTGACTGGACTACATCTCCCATGATGCACTGCAGCCCGCCTCTTGTTGCGGCTGCCTCTCCCCAGTGCATCATGGGAGTTGTAGTTCGGGTGCCCCAGGCCCCCAGTCTCCTCTAGGGGCTGACTGGACTACATCTCCCATGATGCACTGCAGCCTCGCCTCTTGTTGCGGCTGCCACCTCTCCCCGGTGCCTCCTGGGAGGCGACGTTCCGCGGGGGAGCCCGGTCCGTAGAGGAGGCTGGAAGCAGGAAGCACCTGACCTGCTGCTCCCAGGAGACACTTCGGCATCGACATATTGTGGGCGCTCCGTTTCTTTGGATGAACAAGCGGGAAGCAGACGCTTTCCGGGGAGCATTTCGCTGAGTCAAAACCCCAGTTTCCCCCTGACCCCCAGCTTCAAGGGGAGCCATTCAACCAGCCCTAATAAACACACTGACGATTGCGCGGCGCTCGGAGATTGCCTTTGGGGGCAGGGAGCGCGTCATTTTGTTCTGCGTCTGTGCAGCGCCTGGCACTGGGGCCCTGCCCCATCGCCACCTTCCTCAGTGCTCCTGCGCTGCGAATAACGACTAGGAATAATAATTAGGGCTGGACGAGCGATTGAGATAGATACTGGCGGGGATACTGTTGCCCTGTGGTCAGAGGAGGTAACAGTCGAACACCCGGCCCAGCCCCGCTGAGAACCCCTCTCGGGCTGGGCGTCGTACCCGGTTAGTGCCGCCCTGGGCCTGGCCGCTCTGGGTCCTGGTCCCATAGCTGCACGGTTCTCTCTGGGACAGTGGGATCAGCTGGAGGAGGAAGACGAGGCTCGGCCCCCCGCCAAGAAGTGCACGTTCTGCACCCAGATTGTGGATAAGCTCAAGTCGTTAGCTGGCGATGATCCCGACGACGTAAGTCACCCAGTGCTGCTTGCACTGCGGGTTGGCCTGCCCAGTGGTTAGAGCAGGGGGAGGCCTGAGGAAGTGTGTGGGGGGGTGAGGAACGGTGGGATGAGGAGGGAGAAGATGTGGGGGGGAACGGAGAGGGCGTGACGGTGATGGGAGAGTGGGGAAAGAGAGGGAGAGATGGGGAGCGGACCGGGGGATGAGTCCCTGGCTGATGGCGAAGTTATGGGAGAGCAAAGGGTGGGCGGAGCGCGGTGCCATAGCTCACGGGCCAGGGGTCTCGCCGCAGGACGCGATCAGCAAGGCCCTGAACTCCGTGTGCAGGGCCGTGGGCAGACGCCAGGCCGGGATGTGCAAATCGCTGCTGAAAAAGTACAAAGATCAGCTCACGGATGGACTGCAGAATGGCGATGAGGCCGGAGATATCTGCACCAGCATCAAATGGTGCAAGGAACCCCCAGGTGAGAGCACGAAGGCCACAGTTCATCCCCCACGGGAAACTTCGGGCCAGCCTCCTCGGGGCTTCTCCCAGAAACATGGACTGGGCTGTCCCTCTCTGGCCCAGCAATCGCCCCCACCCCAGGAACTGTCCCCTGCAGAGTTCACCCCCCCCCCCGCATCTCCAGGGATCCTCCCCCGACTTCTTCTTCCCCCATCCCCGTGATTATCCCGCTAGGGCTCAGCTGTCCCCCGGCCCGGCTCTGAGGTGCCGCACAGAGGATGCCTAGGCCTGCCTGCCCGGGGGGGCTGGAGCTGCTCTGACCCGGAAACGCTGGCTTTCCCTCCAGAGTTCTCAAACTGATGCCCGCCGCTTTCCCCGAGGCCATGCCAATTCCCCAAAGCTTCTCGCTGCTGCTGATGATGATTGTGCCCACCTGCACTGCACAGAACTGGCTGCATGGAGCATGGCATGGGGCCAGCTGGGTACGTGATGCCCCCAAGGCAGATCCCTGGGCTGGGGGAGCGGGACCCACTGGTGCTCGGGTCTGACCTATGGCACCGTGTCGCTGGAGCAGCAGCCGGGGCTCCTTCAACCCAGTGCCTCAGCCCGGCCCAGCCCGGTGAGTGCTGCGGTGTCTTCGGGGCCCACGTGCTCCTTGGTCTGTGATGCCCTGGGCGGGGTGGCTGCACATCGGGGACCGGCAGAGCTTAAAGCAGGAGCTCACGGCTCCACCGCTGGGGCTGCCCCACGCTCATCTCTAGAGATCGGGCACGGAGCGGGGCCTGGAGCACACACTGATGGCTCCATGTGCCCACGGGGATGGGTGCTCTGGGGACCCGCTCACCAGTGGGTGCTCCGAACACCACCCAGGGTTATGAGCCCCAGGCAGTGCGGGCAGCGGGGGGCATATGGGGGGCTAGCCCAGTCGGGGCTGTGGAGGAGATGGGGGGGTATAGCCTGGAGCTGAAGGCAGAAAGCAGGACCCTTCCTGGCTAAGCTCACAGGCTGACTGCCCCACGCTGCTGTCTCCCTCATCCAGGACTGCTGCAGGCCGGAGCAGATAACCCGAGGACAGCGGCTCTGCCAGCCCTTGGCCATCAGCTTGGCTCTGGCAGTCTGGCATCTCTTCTGCTGGATATCGTGGGCCGGATGCTGAGCTGGTGCACGTGGGCACAGCTCCAGGCCATGCCGATTTGCACCAGCCGGGCATCTGACCCTTCCTCCACCCCACTGCTTTTGGCTTCCTTGTGAATAAAGTGCTTTGGACAACTTGTCGCTGGTTTCATGCCCCTGCTGGGCAGGGAGGGTGGGCAGGCGGAAACGAGCCTTTCAGCCCCAGAGCTGCTGATGCTGCTTGAGAAGCATTTGTCCCAGCCACAATCCTGCCTCTCTCCGGTCCAACGTCTGCATTTCCCTCCTGCGCTCCTTATCCCAGGGGCCCTGATGGCGTCACAGGCTGGCCGCAGCTGGTGGGGGGTCCCTGGCCCCTGCAACTCCTTCCCCCCTCGCCCGCCAGACCAGAGCTGGGAGTGGGGAGCAGGAAAGGGAGCAGAAGCTGTTGGCTCAGAAGAAGACGCGCCTGAGGAATGGTGAGCGCAGGAGGGGAAAGTGGCCACCTGCAAAGCAGAAACCGCCCCGGGTTCCGAGCTCACCATGGCGGGAGATAAGGGACGGGGTGGGACATGGTGACTGTTGCATGTTGGTCACCCGGCTCCCCTGCGCAGAGGAGCCTCTCAGGCCAGGAGATGATCCTGTGACAACCCTTCCTCTGCTGTGCCGGGCAGAGCCACCCCCAAGGTGTGGACAAGGGGCCTCCCTGGAGGCGTGAGCTTCGGATTCTCCCCCAGGCTGGTTCCCGCAAGGGCAGATTCCCAATGCCCCCTGCCTCCATCACGGGAGAGCACCCCTGCAGGGCTTGCGTCCTCCTCCGTCCCGGGGCCTGCCCGCCACTCCCCACCGTGGAGGAGGGCACCATGGGCTGCATGCCCAGCAGAGGCCCTTTGCATCCCAGTCCCCCACCAGCCCTTGTGCCAGGATCCGCCTGGCCTCACACCCAGTGCTTAGGGAATGGCCTCGAGCTGTGCCCGGCCCTTTGAAACAAGCCCTTAGCTTCCCTCTCCCCACTGGCCACAGACGGGGCCTCCCTCCATCCTGCCCCACCGGTCACACACGGGGGGCTGTCTCGTTTGATGGGCTCGGGCTTTTATTTCAATGGGGCTAGGCGTGGGGGCTAGGCGTGGGGCACATGCCGACTGGCCGCATCACCCGTCAGTCCTCCTTCTCGTCGCCGTGGGTGATGATGTAGCAGAGGGATTTGTAATCAATGTTTCCCGCCACGTCGATGGGCGTCACCGCGAACATCTGCTCCACCTGGGCAGGAGAGAGCCGGGGTGGGGACGTGAGCAGGGATCTGCTCCACCTGGGCAGGGATCCCAGCCATTTCCCGGGGCGGGGCCCATCGGGGCGGCCTCAGCCGGGGACCAAAGATCTGAGCGGCTGGCGGGCACCCAGATCTGCCACGGGGGGCCGTGTGGTGTAAAGCCAGCACAGCACGGAGGGGGTTCCTGCCAACCGGTGGGGTTAAAGGCAGGGGGGAGCTCCTGGGACCCACACATTTGGCAGGGGGGAGAGCAGGGGCCGTCTCACCTCCTCTGGGGTGAACTTGTCTGCCTGGGTCAGCAGGAGCTGCTTAAACCTGCAAACGAAACAGGACATGAGTGAGAACCCAGAGCCCTGGGTTTGTGCCCGCTGCCCCCGGGGCCAGGCAGGGACTGGGGGGCTGGGGCCTAAGAGGCGGTAGGGGCCAGGTCGGGGTCTGACAGACAGGGCCTGGCAAGGGGCAGGGTGGGGGCTGGAGGGGAGCAGGGGCTGGGTAAGGTCTGGAAGGGGGGCAGGGTCGGTGGGGTGGGGTGGGGGGCGATTCCAGGGGCCAGACAGGGCTAGACAGACCTGCCCACTGCACACAGAGACTCTTTTTCACCCCACAGTTCCCAAACTGGCCTCTCAGTTCCTGGGACCCGTGCAGCCCGGCTGCTCCCCCCCCGGCCCCGCGCCCCTTCCAGGGCTGCAGCTGTGGCAGCCCGCGCCGCCCCCCACGGCCGTTTCCCCATTGGGGCAGTGACCGGGGGGCCCAGCCAGGCCTCCTCCTGGCTCCAGCCCACTCCCAGTTTGGCCCAGGACGCCCCCGGCACTAGGGTGGCACAGAGCCGGCTCTGCTCCTGGCGTTGCCATTCACCGGAGAGGCCTTGCCCTGCCCCGCGAGCCATCGGGCACCTGGGAATCTGGCCCTGAGAGCCCAGCCTGAGGCACCCCGGGCTCTGATTTGCAGCCTCCACCCCCCCACATTGAGTTCAGTCCGATCTGGGGGCGCGCAGCCCCCTCCCACCCCGAGACACCAGGCCAAGGGCCTCTCCATCTGGGCTCCCAAAAGCCGAGGCCCCAGAAGCAGAGGCCGCTCATGTCCCTTTGGGCCGAGGGGTGCTGGGTCCCCCAGGCCTGCGACTCCCCCACCACCACCCCGGCTTGGGGCGCGTTGACTCACTCGTCCTTGTTCACGTGGCCGGTTCCGCTGGGGTCGAAGAGTTTGAAAGCGTTGAGGATGGATTCCTCCGGGTCGGTGCCTGGGGAGAGCAGGGGGGCTGGTTGGCTCAGGATGAAAGGCTGAGGCTCCCCAGCCACGTTCCCCTGGCTCTAGACCCCCCCACCCCGGTTCCTGCCTCGGGGCGGGGGCGCGGCGCTGCTTGTCTTCGCACGCCGGGCCTGCGGGGCAGGACGAGCCGACGACCTCCCCTCTCCTCAGTGGTGCCGGGAACCCACATTCCCTGCCTGCGCCCCGACTGCTCTGAGGTGCCAAAGCCACATCTCAGAGGGCAGCTGCAGCCCCCCCGTGCCCCCCCAGGCCCATTGCTGCGTGGGGGGGTTGGGTTCCAAAGACCCCCGCAGGTTCAGCAGCAGCAGGAGACCGCACGGCTTTTCCTGCATGGATCCCGTGGGGCCCGGCACCGCTCAGCCATGGCTCACGCCCAGAGCCTGGGACAGGGGACCCGGCCACGCCGGGGAGGGGATGCCGGCGAAGCTATTGAGGGAATCGGTGAGGATGCTGCAGCTGTTTGGGGGCTAGTCTGGGATGCGGGAAACCTGTGCCACCCCAGCGTGACCTTGGGCAAGGCACCCAGTCACTCCGTGCCTCAGTTTCCCCATCTGTCCCGTTGGAATCATAACCCCGTGTGTATGAGGATCAATACATCATGGAGGGTGAGGCGCTCGGATGCTCTGGCGATGGGGCCCGGGACGTCCCAGAGGAAAATAGAGCCCCGGTTCGAACGGGCCCCCTCCAGCTCTCGGCCCCATACGGCTCCCAGAGGAGGTGCCGCGGCCTACTCACCATTCAGCTTCTCCCCAAAGAGTGCGAGGAAGACGGTGAAGTTGATGGGGCCCTTCCCTTCCTTCAGCATCTCGTCCAGCTCCTCGTCCTTCATGTTCAATTTCCCTGGTGAGGAGGGGAGACCCGGTGAAAGCCCATCTTCCCCAGGATGCCTCTGGCCCCCCGCCCGGAGCACCGTTCGCTTTCCGGCGGCAGGAGTGGGCCCCGCCCCGTGGATCCCTACTGCTGTACGGCGGGAGGCCCGGACCCAGCACAACCCAAGCAGGGAGGCCGCTCCAGCCATCGGATGACACGACCCACGCTGAGCTCTGTTCCCCCTCTCCGCTACCTCTGGGGCAGCGGCTGGCTCTTGCTGTGTATCTGGGCAGCACCTGGCACGATGGGGGGGCCCTGATCGCTGTCAGGATCGGAGCAGAGCCTGGCATGACAGTGGTGCCCCCGATCTCAGCCGGGGTGGGTGCAGGGCCCAGCACGACGGGTGCCCTTGATCTCAGTCGGGGTCTATAGGCCGATCTCCATGGCAGCGTCGGTGGAGAGAGCCATCTCCGCAGAGCCCCCTTGCACCCACCCACCCCCTTCGATTGCCTTTGATAAAAGCACCAGAAGGGCCGGGCCGGGGTCCGGGCTGAGCCGGGCCCGCTGCTCGGGCTGCTCTAGGAGGCGGTGGGCTGAGCCCAGAAGCCGATGGCCTCACTCCCCCACAGTGCAGGCAAGCAGAGCCAGCCTTATCCGCGGTGACGCATGGGGAGGAAATCACGAGATGACAAGCTCAAGTGCCCGGTGGAAAGAGCATGCTGGCCACTTAATCAGCGGCCCTGCCGATAAGCAGCCAGCTCCCGCTGTCAGCCAGGGGGGTGAGGGGCTGGGTATTTTTGGAGCTTCAGCTAGCTTCCTCCATCGGTTTGTAACATAAAGGGCTCGTCTTGTTAGAGCTGTGCCCCCCGGCCCCACCTGCTCCCCGGCGGTGCAGGATCCCCCAGCAGCCCACGCCCCCATTCACAGGTGCGTTACCCACCGGACGGACCCTCCTTTACTGGGCACCAGCCCATGGGCCCGTGGTGGTTGAGAATTCCCTGCCTTTCTCCTGCTTCGAGGGCTCCCCTCTTCCCCAGGCCCAAGGGGTAGGCCCGTGCTCGGGGGGGGTGGGGGGGGGAGTGGCATCGGCACCACAGGGCTGAGGAAGCAAGAAGAAGCTTTGTTCCTGGGGTCCCAGCGTAAGTGCAGGAGTCTCCCAGTTTTGCTTTGAATGAACTGAAAATTCAGCCCTTTTTTCACGTCCTGTCTCTGTTCAGCACCTGGCTCCACGGGGCCACGGCAGGGGAACTAGACGCCAGGCTGATACATGGGAATGCCAAAGCAAATCTCGCACAAAGCTGCCATGCCTGAGATTAAGGAATTTCTGACCCTTTCGATTCCAAGCGATGCACCGGGCCCAGGTTTGGACTGGTATGGAACTGGGGAACTCACTTCTGCAAGAGATCGGGACAGCAGGGAACCTCCACTGCCTTCCCACCAGAGGGCAAGCCACTCAAGCCAGAGCGGGTGGATGGGGATAGATAGATAGATAGATAGATAGATAGATAGATAGATAGATGGGCTGTATGGGGATAGAGAGATAGAGGGGGTGGATAGAGGGGTGTATGGGGATAGATAGATAGATGGAGTGGATGGGGATAGATAGATAGATAGATAGATAGATAGATAGATGGTGGATAGAGGAAGTGGATAGAGGGGGTGTATGGGGATAGATAGAGTGGATGGGTATAGACAGATAGATGGGGTGTATGGGGATAGATAGATGGAGGTGGATAGAGGGGTGGATAGAGGGGTGTATGGGGATAGATAGATAGAGGGGTGGATAGAGAGGTGTATGGGGATAGATAGATA